GGGACTGGGGGAGAATGCATTTTAGGAAGGACCCGGACAAAATGGAGATCCAGAGGGAGCAGTCTGAAAGGGGGCAGAGCCGGAGGGGCTGGGCAGACCCAGCAGAGGGGCATCCGCTGTGTCAGTCAAGGTGTGTTCGAGGCTGCGCTAGATGATATGCCAATTTCTATATATATATCTCCCGAGGGTCCCTTTAAGAGCGTCGGACTTCAACTCCCAGAATTCCCGGGGCGGCGCGCGAGGCTGCGGAGCTCTGGGAGTTGCAGTCCACGCCTTCTTGAAGCGGCTCAGGCGAGAGGCACGCGGGGTGGACGGCCGCTGGACACCGCGCCCTCTCCCGCCCGCCTTGGCCAGGACGCCGCCGCCGCCGCTCACCCAGGCGGATGGCTTGGTAAACGTTCTCCGGGTCGTGCACCAGGTCGCAGAGCGCCATCAGGGCCCGCTGCCGCGTCAGCAACTCGGGGTGCTGCAGCTCCTCGTTGAGCTTGGGGAGGCCTCGGCGGCCGAAGGCCACGGGCGCCTTGGTGGGGTCGATGTCAGGGGGCAGCTGGGCCGAGATCCGCGGGTGCGCCATGCCGGAGAGGAGCCCGCCGAGGCGCGCGCCAACGGGTTGCTAGGCGACGGGGACGCCGGGCGGGAAAGTCTGCGCACGCGCACGCTTCGGGATCGAGGCGGGCCGGGACCTTCTCGCGGGTCTTCGTGCGTCCGCCCGAGCAGCTTCGGAAACGTTCGGCTTCCCTCGTCGCTCCACCTCCTTCCCCCCCCCTCCGACTCGCACCCGTGTCCTGCGCCTTTGCCCGCCGCCGCTTTGCGACGCCTGCCCGCCTTTTCCGACCCAGCCGCCCCCAGGTACTCCCCGCTGCGCCGGGGCTGCCGAGGGCGGCGTGCCTGTGGCAAGGGGGTGGTCGGCCGCCGCGCCTCCCAATCTCCCCCTTCGGAATAATAATCCTCCGCGGTTGAAAAGTTCTTTAAACCTTGGCCGCTTTAGGCCTGAGGGACTTCAACTCCCAGAATCCCCCAGCCAGCAAACCTCCGGCATTCCCCAGCAAAGCTGGCTGGGGAATTCTGGCAGTTGAAGTCCCTCAGGCTGAAGGTTGGAGACCCCTGCTTTAAAGAGACTGTAGCAAAGAAGGGCCGATCCGAGCAGGTGGTTTAACACCGGGGCAAGGACGGATGCGCTTTCCTTCCCAGCCAAGCACAGCAAATCGGTTGCCAGGAAGCGTTGTTTATTTTCTGGATCACTTGGTTCCAAGAGCAGATCCCCTCCTGTACAAACACTGGCAGCTCAGAGCCTCGTGCGTTTGCGGCAGGGGGGCAGGGAGGGGTTGCCGGGAGATGAGTCACCCGGAGGAGCCTCCTCCACTCCTTAACGGGGGGAGGTTTCCCTTGTGAGACTCGCCCAGATACCCGCGGAAATGCAGCTGTTTCCTTGCTGATCAGCTGGTGGCTGTTTCCCTGTTTCTGGCAGGTGGAATTGTGGCTGTTGGGTTCTGACCGTTACATCCCTGAAGAGAGAGAAAAAAGGACGGGGAACAGAAGAAATGGAAGGATTGTGGCAGAAATTCTGGAGCTTAGAAGCTGCAAGAAATGCCCAGAAAGCCACAAATTTGGAGGGCTGCGTGGAAAGAGGCAGAAGGGCTGTTTGAGGAGCAGGGGGTAAGCATGACTGTTCCCAAAGGGAAATGGAGCCTTTGTGCCAGGCGCAAAGAACCAGACCCAACGCCCTGAGCTCATCAGAGAAGTTTCTCTATGGGTTTCTCTATGCCTATTTACAAGAAGCTCGGCTAGACTGACTGCACCCTCTTGGGGATAGGCAGATAAGGACTACAGGGACTTTAGGGAGAAGGTTGGGTTTGGGTCACTTTCTCCTGTGCGGGGATTCCAAGTTAGCTAGAAGGGGAGTCTACCCCGAGAGAGGCAGATATAAATGAGGGTTGGCCAATTTAAGGAACGCAGGCCTCCATGGCCAGGAGATCAATGCCAGGGCAGCTGAAGGATTCCTGTGGGCCTGGCAGGTGCCAGACGGCTGGGGAAGAGTGAATGTTGCTCCTCTCTTTACAGAAGGGAAGAAAGTGGTGCCAGGAGAGTACAGGCCAGTCAGCTGGGTGTATAACTGTACAACTGACAAGGTCCTCGGGCAGGTTATGGATGAGACAAGGCCTTTGTCCAACTTTGTCCCTTCTCCTCTGACTTGCCCTGCCCTCTTCCCCCTGGAATTCTGCATCCAGCTCTGGCACCGCCATCTAAGCAGGATGATGAGAAATCCTAGTGTGCTCAGATGGCACCTGTCGATGCAATGAAGGCTCTGGGAACCAACCTGGACACAGAAGAGAAGGCTGGGAGAGGTGTGATGACGCTCTTGGGAAATCATCCCTGGAGCTTCATCCCTGGAAGCTTTCAAGAAGAGACTGGACGGCCATCTGTCAGAAATGGTGTAGTAGGGTCTCCTGCTTGGGTGGGGGGGCAGGGAGGTTGGAATAGATGACCTACAAGGCCCCTTCCAACTCTTGTTAATCTGCTAAATCCAAAGTCTGCCCAACAGCCTGCAATGAGCAGGAAGCAGATTCGGGTTAGGGCCCAGGAGGAGCGAGCTGCCCACCGGCTGAATCGCAGCCTCTTCTTGAAGGGTGAAGTTTCTCCTCTTCTCCAGAGGTCTCCAAGCAGAATAAGAGAGGAGGAAGGGGCCCTGGAGGGCTTCTAGGCCAAACCGACCAGTGGAGCGAGTGGAGCCTCCACCGTCACTTCCAATCTTAGGCTGCGTTTCGCTAAAGGACCCTTGGACGTCGCCTTGTCCAGCCCCGCTACTCCGGGCACGAATCCACGACCTGGGATTGAAACAAGTGGCGGGCTTCGCGATTTTGCAGCGGAAACGTGTCCACTTGGGGCGGACCGGGAGGGGGGCACGGAGCCTCTCTCCGAAGCGCTGGTCGGCGGGGAAGCGGCTGTTGGGCTGTTGCAAACGCTGCCGGCGCCCCCTGCCCGGCCAGCGCGGGGAGGAGCCCATCCTCTCCCGCCCTCGCGGCGGTTGCCATGGCCACGCGGCACTAGCGCCGGAGTCGCCCGCCGAGGCCCGCCTGCCGCTCGGGACGCCGCCGCCGCCGCCGCCGCCCTGCTCGGGAGCCCGTGCGAGAGGAACCCCGGGGGCTGCGCGCTGCCCTTCGCCGCTTGTCGGGTGCGAGGACTCGGCGGGAAGACGCCGGACTCCCCGGTCCAGAGCATTCGCGCCCGCCGCGGGGCTGCTTCGGGTGGCCGAGCGGGGCAAGAGCCCGCCGCGGCCGTTCCGCTCCCCGGAGCTGGTCGGGCGCCGAAGGCTGGAGCGCGTCGGCCGGGCGGCTGCTGGCAGGGCCGGCCCGGGCGCTGCTGCTGCTGCTGCCGGCTGGGGAGAGCCCGCAGGGAGGGAGGCGGCAACAGGCCGGGCGGTGGCGGAGGAGCCGGCGAGAGGCACCTGCCCGGCTGCGGTTCCGCGAAGCGCCTTCAGCAAGCGGCGCTCCCGGAGGCTGCGGCCGTTTGGGCACCTCCGGCCGAGGGGCTCGAGGGGAGGGGCGGGCCCTTCGCAGGGCGAGGCGCTGCTCGCCGGGATTGGAGGAGGCCCCGCTTGGAAGGGCGGCCGGGCGGCCTCTCTTGCGCCGAGGGAAGGCCGGGCGCGGAGGGTCCCTGCAGCAGGGCGGCCTCGGCCAGAGCGCTCGGGGGCTTCCGCCTCTTGTCCAGGGAGGGTCCCCCGCGTGGTGACGGGGCAGCCCCGCTTGGACGGAGGGGCCGGGCCAGGGCGGCTGCAGAGGCTGCCCACCTGTGGCGGGGGGGAGTGGGGAGGCTCCGTCTCTCGGCTTTGTGGGCAGCAGAGAGGCGGCCTCCTTCCGCCCGCCCGGCCGGGTGAGGTCGCGGCTTGTAAGGCCTCCCCGTCGTCTTCCTTTTTGTGCCTGACAGCCCCGCAAGCTGGGCGATGAAGGGCCCCCTCCTGCCCGTCAGCAGAGACCGGAGGATCTCGGACTTCCCCAAGGTAAGCAAGGACCCCTCCCGGGGGCGGGGGGGCGGTCTTTGCCCAGGCGGAGGAAGGACTGGCCCGCCAGCTGCTGCTCCCCTCTGCCTGCAGTGCTACACCCCCGAGGCCTGTCTGCAGCTGAGGGAGGACTTCCACGCCCAGGTGAGGGCGGCCTGTCAGCGGAGGAACCCTGGGACCGTTGGGTGAGTCCTTTGTTCCTGGAGGTCCTCACCCTGCTCTGGGCAGGAAGCCCGAAATAGAGAAGCAGCAGCCCTTGCGGGGACTGACTCTCTGGCCCCCTCGTATGTCTGTAAGGAAAATGTGTCTAAAATAACAGGAAATCCCCCTCCTTTTATTACCTGGCCTTCACAGCATCCATCCTCTCTTCTCTTTGCTGTTCTTGCAAGCCACACTAGATGGGACACGCCAGATGGGTGCAACACCTTACATGCTACCAGGATGTTTAAACCTTTCCTTGCCAGAGGTGCTGAAGTGTTTGCACATTCTGCCAATCCGTTTCATAGCTTAAAAGGATGTGAACTAATAAAAGGGCTGCCCACAACATCATCAGCCTAGGAGATGCTCTGCTCTGGAAGCCAGGCATAGCAGGCATAGAGTCCCAAGAGCTTGTTAGGGCCACCACACCATCTTTCGTTGCAGACTTAGCCAAGCAAACCACCCAGGTTCATCCTGTTTTCCAATTCCTGAAAGCCCAAAATAGAAACTGCTTGGATTTGAAGGACAGGAGGAATCTTTGGAAAGCATCTCATTCTGGTTTTTTTTTTAAAAAAAGTCTTTATTTAAATTGTCCACCCAACTTCAGGAGACTCTGGAAAAGACATAAAAATGGCTAAAAATATTGAATCAAGCCAACAGCCAAGACTTGCATACTCTAGAACCATGTTGGCAAACCTATGGCATGCTGAGCCACTTCTTCCGGCACGCTGGAAGAGCCCCATTGTGCATGCGCGCGCATCGCCACCGCCCGACAGTTGTCGGATGTCTAGCGCGCATGCGTGGGGGGGAGGGTGCATGCGCAGAGACACATGGCGTGCAGGGGATCACACAAGCATGCGCAGATGGATGGCACTCGGGGTTGATCGCGCATGCAGCGCAGAGACACACGGCAAGGGGATTGTGCGTGCATGCACAGGGGACGTGGGGGGCCCAGCACGCATTGCCTTCTGGGTGGTGGCACGTGAGCACGAGCGCATGCGCAGTTATCAGCACAGGAGCCGAAAAAGGTTAGCCACCAGAGCTCTAGTAAATAACAAAGTCCGAAAACCAAACAGAGGCCATTAAACGAATAACAAGCATCGGCCCCACGCCTGGGACCCAAAGCTTTCTGGAACCCCCGGAGAGAAGATCCTGATATTTGGGGGGTGGGGGTGGGATCCTGTTCCAGAGAGTGGGGCCCCAACAGAGAAGGTTCCCTGCCTTGGTCCCACGAGATGCCAGTGAGGGACACCTGGACTGCTCTCTCTCTGCTGGACTGTACTCAGAAGCGATTGGGGACAAGCAGCCTCTCGGGTGGCATCCACGCCTTTGCTCACACTGGGCTTTATAGGCCATAACCGGCACCTTGACTTGTCCCTGGAAGCCAACGGGCAGCCAACGCAGCCCATGGAGCAGTGGTGGACACTCCAAGAGGCCCCTGTTGCTGCTGGCATCGCTGCCTTTTGAATCCCCCGGAGCTTCTGGGTGGCCTTCGTGGGCATCCCCTGGTGGAGCACATGGCAGGGGTAATTGTGGGATGAGCGACTTTGGGAAGGGCCTCCTGACCGAAGAAATGGCGCACCTGGCACACAAGATGAAGCTGCGCAAGGGGGCAGCCGACGGGGGAACTCCGGTCGAAGGAAGGCCTTATGGGGAAGCCTGTCTTCGGGTTGCCGGGATTGAGAAGCGCTGCATGAAAGTTCAGCCATGGGTGTTGCTCTTCCTCTCACGGACGGGAGAGGAATTCACCAGGCACAGGTTGGTGGGTAAAACGCGGGCCCAGCATCGTGTCCAAAGCTGGCCTGCAGCCTGGAGGCCGTTTCTGAAGCCACCTTCATTCTGACCCCCTTCACCTGGGAGACAAACCCACTTAAGGCTGCCTGGGGAAGAACGCTTGGTGCCCCCTGCATACCAAGGCTGGGAGGTTGCTCTACACCCTGTGGTTCACCATGGCCGGGCCTGGGAGGATCCTCTGGCTGGGGCATTTCCAAGCTCCTTGGGGTGGGTCTGGTGCTCCGTGCCAGAACTGTAATGGTGAGGTGGGCTGCTGGGGAGGGGAGAGTGCGGCTTCTCAGGGAACATGAGAAATTGACCTCTGGGAAAAGAAGAGGAGAAAGAAGTGATTGTGCAGGTAACACTGGGATCCAAGTGGAAACATTGACTGCATCTTCTAGGACGGGGCTGTCGAACTCAATTTCATTCAGGGCCGCATCAGGGTTATATTTGACCTTGGGGAGGGGGTGGAGTGGGAGTGGTCAGGGGGGGCGTGGCCAGCTCGACATCACTTGTGTCGGGGACACCTGTGGTGGCCTGGGCACTCTGCCAAAGAAAACAGGCTCCAGAGCTCTGTTTTCAGCTGCGACGGCCTCCTGCAACCCTCTGCCAGTGAAAATGGAGCCGGGGAAGGCTGCCCGTTGCCCTCCCGAGCTCCGTTTTCACTGGCAGAGGCACCACATGCCCGTCCTTCACTGTTTCCAGACCAGCCCACAGGCCAGATCTAAGCACCCCATGGGCTGGAGTTTGACACCCCTATTCTAGGAGATCAATTATTATAAAATAGTCTCCCTCTGTGAATATAGTGTGGTTGGACATGCAAGGAATTTGTCTTGGTGCAAATGCTCTCAGTGTCCATAAAAGAAAAGATACATTCATCAACAGTCAAGAATCATCAGGTGCAACACTTAATGATAGTCATCGGGTACAATAAGCCATCAAACCATACTAGGAAACAGTCAATATAAATCGTAAGGATACAAGCAACAAAGTTAGTTATAGTAGTGCAGACTTTGTAAATAGCTGGACAGCGTTGAGGGAATTATTTGTTTAGCAGAGGGATGGCATGGGGGGAAAACTCCTTGTGTCTAGTTGTTCTGGTGTGCAGTGCTCTATAGCGTCGTTTTGAGGGTAGGAGGAGTTGAAACAGTTTATGTCCAGGAGGTGAGGGGTCTGTAGATATATTCTAGTCAACGCATCTCTAATCTAGAAAGTCCAAGCAATATGCTGATTAGACAGTCAAACACCCCCCCCCCCCCCCCTTCTCTTTTAAACCCCCGGCGGGGGGGGGGGCTGCCTGCTCTTCTCGCTCAGCCCAGCCTTCCTGGCGCATTTGTTAAGGGAGAAGTAGGAGGAGATGGCAGGAAGGAAAGGCAGGAAATGTAATTAATATGCAAAAGCATATTCTGATGCCCATTTTGCCGGAGAGACATCTAAATAAATGCAAGATCTGTTTGTTTCGTGGAGACAAATCCATTTGGTTCCCCTTGATGTCCTGATGTTTTCTTCACTGCAGATCAGGAAGAGGGTCGTCCTATCGGGTTTCTACATTTCTGAAGCCCCCCCCCCAGTTTGCTTTATGCTCAGATTGAAAAAGAATGGGGAGGGGGAGTGGAAGCAGAGGGATGCAAAACCCCACTGGAGCCTGAACTGCTTCAAGCTCAAAAGGAGGAGGCGAGGCCTCATGATGGGGAGGACGGTGCCAAGTTGTATCAAGCCACGGAGAGCTCTGGATTTTGCACTCCTCTCCTTGAAAGTTCATTCGCTCGTGAAACAGTCTGTTTCCCCCCCCCCCCCCCCTCAACTGCATCAACATGTTCAATGTGAAAATGTGTGTTCCAGGCTAAAGATCTCCAAAGTGGTCGTGGTGGGAGACCTCTGCGTTGGAAAAACAAGCCTTATCAACAGGTATTACGACGTTCCCTTTTCCAGCAGCAATTAATGGCAGCCCCATGTGGGCTTTTCCCCCACTGGTTATTCTAAATTCACTGGGCACAGGGATCTTTGACTGCCACGCAGGCTGCTTTGGGCCCTTTCTAGGGTGGGTGAAGCCCCCGTTGCTTGGGAGCACTGGAGGCTGGTGGAACCGCTGGGCCTCAGAGCCAGGCCATGGGCAGAGTGCATGGGAGGAGGAGGAGAAGGCTGTGGATGGACCTGGAGCTTGAAAATTGGACTTCTACCAAAAAAGGTCTAATGGCAGGTGTGGGTTATGCCAGAGAACCAAGAATATGTACCCAGCTTCTAAATAAAAATCTTAGGAAGGAAGTTATGACATTTATTTTATTTTATTTTATTTTATTTTATTTTTTATTTTATTTTATTTGTCAAGCGATTATAAGATAACAGGTATAGTCATGAATACATGACTTATATATTATAACAGCATAGTTATGAATACATGAAATGGATACGTATAAGAAAAATAAAAAGAAACAATAGGACAGGTTGGTGCAGACCTCTTAGGAAAGGGGTGAGGTCAATAATAGACAGTCTAAGGTTAAAGTTTTTGGGGAAGAAACCACCAAGTCAGGTGGTGCATTCCAGGAATTAGCCACTCTGTTGCTGAATTCGTATTTCCTGCAATCGGGTTTGGTGCGGTTTAGTTTGAGTTTGTATCTATTGTGTGCTCTTGTGTTATTATGGTTGAAGCTGAAGTATTCATTTGCAGGTAGGACATTGCAATATATAATTTTATGTAGTATACTTAGATCGGAACAAAGGCAGCTTAGTTTTAGGTTGTCTAGGTCTAGAATTTCAAATCTGGTGGCATAAGGCATTCTGCAACGAGTAGAGGAGTGGAGAACTTTTCTTGTGAAATATTTCTGGACTTTCTCAACTGTGTTAATATCAGATACGTAATGTGGGTTCCAGACTGATGAGCTGTATTCAAATATTGGTCTAGCAAATGTTTGTATGCTTTGGAAAGAACTTCCTGGATTTAATCCAAAGGTGCTTTTTCAAGAGGCAATTGGACTTTCTGGGGTTTTTTGGAAGATGTTTCGCTTCTCATCCAAGAAGCTTCATCAGCTCTTTGCCTCTTGAAAAAGCACCTTTGGGGACAACCATGACTGAGAATCTCCTTAGACTTCCAAGATTCAAATGACATGCTGTTGTTGTTTTTTCCTTAACCATTTTTCAATTGCAGGTTTTGCAAAGAGGTTTTTGACCGGGATTACAAGGCAACGATTGGCGTGGATTTTGAAATTGAGCGTTTTGAGATCGCTGGGGTGCCCTACAATCTTCAGATGTAAGTTGGAAAGCAGCTCCTGTCCCTGCTTCCCCCTCCCCGTTTCCAGGTAGTGTGGAAGGTTTCACTGGAATAACCTTTAAAGCAGCATTTCTGATAGAAAAGGCAGCCTTGCCTTGCAGAATGCCTTCGCTTGAGGGAGCGCGCAAATGTTATGCGCGTGCACTTACCCCAATGCACGGAGAACTTTTGCCAAGCGAAGCGTGTACTCAGGACGTTGGGCCTTGTGCTTCTACTCCCAGATTCTGCCGGCCCTCCGAGGTAGACCAGACTGGAACACCAGAGTGCTCAGACTGCTTCTATTACGTAGTTAACAGTGTAGGTCAGTGGGTGGCTAACCTTTTTCGGCTCCTGGGCCGATAACTGCACGCACGCACGCTCGCTCGCAGGCCAGCACCCAGAAAGCAATGTGTGCTGGCCCCCCCACGCCCCTGCGCATGCGATTCCTCCCTGCGCATGCACGTGCATCTTCCACGCACCCCCCCTCCACATGTGCACCAGATACCTGACAATCAGCTGTCGGGCAGTAGCGCGCACACGCATGCGCAGTGAGGCTCTTCCGGGCGACCTCTCCGCGTGCCATTTCCGGCACACATGGCATAGGTTCGCCAACACAGGTGTAGGTAATCCTTGACTTACGACCATAATTAGGTCATATGTTGTAAAGAGGGTCACCCACCCGGCAGACCCGATTTTCCAACTTTTCTTTTGACGCAGAATTAAACATTGTTTGCTACGGGGCATTTTTGCTAGAAACAACTGCCAGTTATTGGCAAAAACATCATAAATGGTGACCACATGGTCCTGGGGTGCAAATGCAGGCCGTTTCCCACCTGGCCGAAATGTGGCCAGGTGACTGCTGAAGAGGGAGCCATTCAAACTCTGAAATTGGGTCGTAAATACCTCTGGGGGGGGAGGGGTCTGTGTCCGGTTCTTGCCAGCCAGAAATGTGCCTGTCTCCTCGCTCTTGAGAAGTCGGGCGTGTCATGTCTGAGAAGCTTTCTCAAATTAGTTTCTGCCCCAATTCAGATTTCTCTTATCTGATCGTTGCAGCTTTTCCTCCTGTCCCTCAAGGTTGTTCCTTCTGCCTGTTAGAGACCCCCCCAGCCAGCCCTCTAATGTTAGATCTGCAATCCCAATGCATTGGAAGGGAGGCTGGAGAGTTACGGTCCAGTTTGGTGCCCAGGTAGGTTTTCTTAGCTCAAACCTGCCTCTCTCTTTGGGCCGCCCCTAAGCCCTGGAGGCAGAGGAGCGGAAAGCGTTTTTAGAAGTTAAGGAAGAGTGGGGATATGCGCTTGTTCACTTAGCCTGGTCTCTTGGGGCCTTCAGCTTAATGTGCTAATGGGGACATAACCAGTGACCCAGAATGGAAGCTGGCTGGCAGGTAAGTCTCAGAGGGAGCTTCGTTTGAGCCTTTATAGGACAAATGAGGAACCCAAACCTAGATGGTTGTAGCACTTGAGGGAGTTTCCTGGGAAGGCGATTTTTGTGGTTAGCTGGCTGCAGGTGTGGACGGCTGAGGAGAGCGAGGACTCAGATGAGGGGCCAGGACCATTAGGGAGTGGACTGCTGCCTTCAGAGATTGTGGGGGCTGGCAGCAGCGATGAGGAGGTTCCCGAGGAGCCTGTGCCAAGTGCGCGTGCATGCAGGGTTGTTTGTAGGAAAGAGCAGCTGCAACAGCACGGGTGACTCAAGAGTAAGGCTGCAAGGTAATGGCCCCTCCTTCAAGAAGATAAAAGCCAGATGTGCAGCGAACATTCTTTGCAGGAAGCAAAGATGTTTTGAAACTCAGCCTTGTGGGACATTACAGTATCTTAAGGTGGACTCTTATGTTGTGAAATATTTATTATCTGTGATTCTTGGCAGTCTCGTACAGTTTTGGCAAGGTTTGTGTTTATCAGAGTTAATGAGTTTGCAGCAGCCTTTTAACCGGGGATTCATAAGACTCGTTAAAAGGTTTCTGTTCCCTTTGGTTATTGTTTGTCTTATTGGAAAAGGGTTTGAGTCAGAACAGCAGCTGAACAACGTCCGAATGCCAAGCAAACTTGTTGGGGGTTCTTGAAGCATCCTCAGGGTCGCATAATTTACATTCTGGATGCTTGAGCACTGACTCATACTTACGACACTTACAGTGTCCCAGGGGTGATGGGATTCCCTTTTACGACCTTCTGACAACCAAAGTCAGATTCACTTAATGACCTTGTTAGCTAGTTTTAACAGCTTCCTTGATTCACTTAACAAACGTGGCAAGAAAAGCAGTAAAATGGGGCGAGACTCGAGTGTCAAAATTTCTCACAGCAACATAAATTCTGGGTTCCATTGTGGTCGTAAGTTGAGGACTCCCTGTGTTCAAGTGGGGGATGTAGGTCCCCCCGGAGCCCCCGGTGACTTTCTCCTCCCCTTCTGGCCCAGATGGGACACGGCCGGCCAGGAGAAGTTCAAGTGCATCGCGTCTGCCTACTACAGAGGAGCGGAAGGTGAGCTGAGGGCGAAGGCGCCCACCTGGTTGGAAACCCTCCCCTCCATCTTTGGCGTGGCCGAACCGGTGGCTCAGGGGCTGCTCCCGCCCACCTTGCGCAACCTTATTTTACTTTCTTGGCAGTAATTATCACCGTCTTCGACTTGGCTGACATCCAGACTTTGGACCACACCAAGTAAGTCGCCCCAGTTTCCCCTTTGTGGCTATGACGCTGCCTATCCCCACTGAGCCACGAAGGATGGAACCACGTTTATTGGCTGAAGAAGAGCTGCCAGCTTTTACACAAAGCCAAAGTCAAGCAAACCCTGCTAACCGTTCAGATCATTCCTGCTCGGCAAATTCTGCCATCTGTAAAGGTTTTTTTCCAGCCATTGTTTGGCCAAAATAATACCATGGTGGGAGACGACGGTGATATGGAGTCCACGGTGGGTGGTGGAATGGCCTGTTAGTGTCTCATCGTGAAACAATAAGCTTACCAGGATGATTAGAGGGATCTGATCCTACACACCCGCTCTGACTTCACACACACAGACACACACACAGACACACACACGAACACACACAGGAAAGGCCTTTAAGCTGGCCCTGGGGCGTTGCTGTAGCAAAGAGCCAATCTCAGAGTGCTCATCACCAATTGGAATTTAAAATCATGGCCCCTCCACATTTAAGGGAGACACTCAGCCTCAGAAAAGCCCCATATGCAAGTTAAATATTGATTTGCACGCGGAGGAGGAGGAGAGGCACGCGGGGCGTGAACTAGGTGAGGAGCAGGGCTCCACACACCCTGCTAATGAGGGAGGCACCCTTTTCTTCCTGCTGCTGTGTGGAATCCAGCTGGGCAGGTCTTCCTGAAGGGCCCTGGGGGGGGGGGGGAGGAGGCCAAGGGAGGGGGAAGGTCCTTGGCTGATCCTGGTGCCCTTACTGAGCCAGTTGACTCAGAGCTGCCTCTGCAGGCTGTGGGGGAGAGGAGGGCACAGCCATGCCCAGTTCTGCCAGAGTGCTTCCCTCTAGCGTTGCCTTCGGCTTGGCTCCTGCGGGCTCCGGGCTCGCCTTTGGCTCCTGTGGCTTTACTCTTTCCAAGGGGAGAGGATCCCTTGGCCCACTTCAGCTGGACTTGGTGGGCAGGAGGCCGGTGTCGGAGGGGACTGGCATAGGGACGGCCTTGTGTGCTGAGCAGGAGAACAGATGGTGTGCCTTCCTCTCCTCTGCCCTCTGCCTCTCCTTCCCGTCCCCATCCCTCGGGGCACCACTAGACCCGTTTGCCAGTTCAAAGGAGCAACGGTGCAAACACGGGCAGATGGCTGGCTGCCACCTGATTAGGTCTGCAGAGAGGAAAACAGGCTGAAGGCAGAGAGGCAGAAGGCAGAGATCTATTCGTTCACTGGAAACGTTGCTCTAGCTCCCCGCTCCCCACCACGGAACAGGCTCTGGGTGGCTCCCCATCAAGAATTAAAACATAAAATCGTATTAAAAGCCATAAACATGGAAACTAGAGACCAGGCACCGTGTCAAGCTTCCAACGTGCAGCCATCCCATCCTGTCGTTGGGGGGAAAGCGAGGCGGGCCGAAGCCCGCCAGGCTCGAGGGGAAGGGGCAGCCACTACCACGGAGAAGGCAGGTTTCCTAGCACCCATAAAGTGGCTATATTTGGGTGAGGGGAGCAGGGCCGTGCCCACCCTATTTGATCTGGCACGATGGGTAGGTGCCCTCGAGGAAGGCAGCCCGACAGACCACCTGAGTTTGGGAAGGGATGACCAGCATCTGGAATGGAAAGAGACAGGAAGCTGTGCAAGTCGCGCCACAGAGATGCTACGCAGGCAACGCATGGCGGCTCCATCGCTGCACGCGGCTGGGTTCTGGACACAGAGGTTTTCAAAGGCAGCAGCCCCACGTAACTCACACTGCAGTGATCCATGCGGGAGGTGACAAAAGGCACCGGTGACCATCACCTCTTGCCAAGATGCTCTTTGTTCGCTGCCCTTCCAGACCAGAGAGCCCAGGGGGAGTCTGCCCGCTGCAGCAGGACAGGGGGAGGCGCCCCTGGGGCTGGCAGAAGGCAGCCTCCCCTGGGTGGCTTTCTGGCCCAGGACAGGACTAGGACTGGGACGGGTACGTCTTCTCAGCGTGTCGGAGGATCCCCTCCCTCCCTCACCTGTGCTCTTCTCCCTGTCCAGACGGTGGCTGGAGGACGCCCTGCGGGAGAACCACCCCGGATCCAGTTTTGTGTTTTTGGTGGGAACCAAGAAGGATCTGCTGGTGAGCCTGAAGAAATCTTATCTCCAGAACCAAGGTGGCCGGTTGGGCATCCCATCTGCAGCCCAGCGAATGGAGCGTGCCTGTCTTTGAGAGCCCCTGACAGCTGGGGGTGGGGCTGATGCTGGCTGAGCGAAGAAGAGCTGGGAGGCCCCCAGGACCAGCTCCTCCACCAGAAGGGACCAAGGTGGTCAAGACAGCAGCCGAAACACACCTAAGGGACAGGCAGAACTTCTTCCATCACACGGTTCTGTCTCCCGTCTTGGTATTTCTGACCATAACCTGTTAGAGACCCTGGTGGAGTTATCCCAGCCTAGACCCATTCTTTTGGGGTGGGGGCAGTTTGAACGATCGAGAACACGCACTGGGCGCTCTTGTGAAGCAACTGAGGGGAGGGTGGCTCCTTGGCTGCGCCCTCCCACCCCAAAAACCCTGTCCCCTCCCTACACCCTGGGCTTTCCTTCTCTCTCCAGGGAGGTGGCTGCCTCTGCCCATTATTGATTGGCTCAGAAAGCTTCTCTGGGCTCTTCTTGGAAAGGAAGAGGGGGCTGGAGGTGAGGCCTGGGGGCTTCCCAGTGGCCAGCAGGGCAGGGAATACACAGGGGACCCCAGGCTGTCTGCCCCCCACCCACCCCCTTTGTGTTGCTGCCCACTCCCTTTTCTGAGTTCTCTTGGCTGTAGGAAGGGTCCGCGGCTTGTTGGGATTGGCTGTGTGGCTCCCGATGCCACACCCTCCACTTGGGGCATTCAGGCTGCCTGCCACGGATTGGGTCAGCCGCCTCCGGCCAAGGCGAGGGTCCGTTGTCCCAGTGAGGAGATACTGGACAAGGGCAGCCACTTGGCCCCCAAGAGGGGCAGGAGGGGAGGGGGCTGGCCTGCAGAGTCCTGATAGGCCAGGCTGTGGAAATTTGGCTGCAGTCAACTCTGCCCCTCCTCTACTTTGGAGGCCTTGTGAGCTCACTGCCCCCCCCCCCCCCCCCGCCGCCCACCCCCCCCCCGCCCCCCCCCCGGCCCGCCGGGGCCCGGCCCCGCCCCCCCCCCCCCCCCCCCCCCGCGCTGTCTGGGAGGAGCTGCTGGGCCCCAAGTGTCACCCACCCAGCTTTGGCACCCCAAGGAGGCTTCCTCGTGTGCAAGGGAGGCCTTGGACCACCACCACGCCCATGTGCCTGTGCATTTGTTCTCCCAGCAAGCGGCCATGTTTTGTCTGTTCTTGGAATACAGCCGCAGCCGCCGCTAGCAGTACATCCGCTTGCCAGGTTTTAAGGATTTGGGGCATCTTCCCCGTCCTTTTTCTCTTTCTGCAGGGGAAAACGTCAAGGACTTTTTTTTCCGGGTCGCTGCCTTGGCCTTCGAGAGGTCTGTGCTAATGGAGCTGGAGAAGAGCTGCAACCGGCTGCTGCCAATCGGCACAGGGGACTTCATCAGTATGTGGGCCTAACACACCCACCCCCCACCCCACCCTGTTCTCGGGAAAGCGGTCAAAGGGGGTCTTTTCTTCCAGATCAGCGTTTCTCAGCCTTGGCACCCTGAAGACGGGGGTGGGGGGGCGGCTTCAATCCTCTGAATTCCCCCAACATGCCAACTGTGGAATTCCGGGAGTTGACATCCACCCACCTTCAAGTGGCCACGGTTGAGAATCGCGCAGGGGGCGGCTCAGGTGCTCCTGTCCAGAAGCAGCTCCTGTGGGGCTTCTTCCGGTTGAGCCCAGGTAACGGCAGCATTGGCAGCCACTCGGCTCTTCTGAGGCAGCTGAGGGGACATCCAAGCCCACCCTGGAAAACACGGGTACAACAACTGGCATTTGGGGGTGGGAGGAGAGGAATCCTCTGAAGCCCCCCCCCCCCCCCCGCAGGTCACAGGTAGGCACCGTAGCCTTCTTCTTGGTCTCCTCTTGCAGGGATAGAAGAAAACGCGGCCTCTTCACCTGGATCTCGTCCGTCCAACCTGAACTGCTGCTAATGGCTTCCAGGGGAGACACCGTAAGCTGCCCCCATTGCTCTTAGACGAGCAGGAAATCAACTGGGTCTCCAAGAACCACAAGGAGGGCAGCAGAGCCAGTCCCCACCTTCGCTCCTCCCGAAGCCCTCTGAGCCATGGAGGAGGAGCCGCCTTTCTCTCCCTGGAAACTCTTTGTGCTCCAAATGCGGAGCATTCGGCCTTCTCGTTACCTATTGGAGGTGGTACAAACGGACCAGGTCTGCTGACTGGGCTAATTCAGGGCAACCCCCCCCCCCCAACCAGCTGAGCCTTCTTGGCAGCCGCAAATTGAACCGGACGTCTAGTTAAAGCTTAACCGTGAAATAGCTGTTAAAACCGGCAGGAGGAGTTTGAACCAAGAGGGAGATATCTGGAGTGAGAAAACCCCCGACTGTCTCCGATTTAGGGCCTGTCTAGTGGAGAGCATCTTGCACTGAATTGTTTGAATTACTCGCTAGCTTGGCTTAGAATTACTGCCAGAGCAACTCCTGTAAAAACAGGCCTTTTATTTTCATGCAGAATTAAAGGCTGTGCCGGAGACCCCAGGATTCTGTGCTGTGCATCTCTCCGTAACTCAGCCAAGACCTTAGCAGCCATTGGTGAACCTCCCCAGCGATAGCAACGGCCCTTAGACTCTGTCTGCCGCTTCACAGTCCTTCACAGCCCTAAGCTGTAAACCACTGTGCCACGAGAGAGCTGGGTTCAAGGAGGGAGACATCTCGGCTAGCAGTGGAGACGTCTGTCTAGCTCCACAGGGGAGAAAGAAAGAGAAGGAGAAAGGAATGCCCACAATTGTGCCAGGCAGGCCCTTCCTGGTTGAGCGGAAAATGTACCCATCCCAGACCAATGAACATTTCCTGCTGCCAAATGATGCATAACATTAGGAGTGGCTGTGTTTGCGGAGATTTTCCTTGTAATTGTTTCGCCACACATTAACTTTTAGTAGTACAGGTAGTCCTCGGTTTACGACCACAGTTGAGCCCCAAATTTCTGTTGCTAAGTGAGACAATTAAGTCAATTAATTTTGTCCCTTGCCACAGTTGCCAAGTGAACCACTGCAGTTGAGTGGGTAACACCGTTGTTAAGTGAATCTGGCTTCCCCATTGATTAATTTTGGAGGCTTTTTGCAATTCGAACTCGGGAAATAAATCCCTCCAAGATCCCCCCCCCTCTGTGCTCCCACCCCCAGGGAGGCTGGCAACCAAGCTGGCCTTTCCTGTGGGGTCCAGCACAGCCCTCGGCGAGAGGGGCTCTAGTGACCAAATAGCCGCTGCCTGTTCCACTTGCAAACATCATCTTGTTTTTTCTGGGTTTAAAGCCAGTTTCTCACACACCCCCTTTGCTCAGCGTTGGTTCTGGCATATGTCCTTCAAGGCTGCCTCCCTGTCAACCAGCCGGTCCTGCAGGGCAGTCAGTCACTTTGCAATTTGAGTTTGTGGTTAAAAGTTGCATTAACCAGGAAGCACAAGGGAGATGCCCCCCCCCCCCCCCCGCCCCCCCGGTTGTGAGTCTGATCTGCAGAAGGAGCGTTGTACAGCAACGCCAAGCACAGAGTTCGAGTTCCGCTGGTGCTGAATGGACTTTGGCTTCTCCGGACTTGGTTCCCATAGCCAAGAGAAGACCGGAGGCCCCCAAGAAGCCTCGCTGCCCTTGCTGGCTGCTGAGATCCAGGCCTTTCGGGGGCGGGCGGCCTTCTTCTCCCGGGATCCCGGCAAGGGAGCCTCTTCCTTTGGCGCCGCGGAGAGCCGCCGGGTCGCGGGAGGAAGAAGCCCCGCGCCGGGCCCCGCTGTCCGTGGGAGGAGCTCCGGCAGGGCAGCGCAGGGCTCCCGCAAGCACAGCCGCCTCCCCTGGCAGGACGCGCTTCTCCGTGGGCTTCGGCCTGCACTTTTGCACGGCGCGCCCGGCCTCGCCCAGCCCTTCCCCGAGCGCAGCCGGTTCGAGGCAGAGCTTCTTCCTCCGGGCTTTTGAGGAACGATCGCAAGGCAGGCAGGCAGGCAGGCCGCCCCCCCACCCCCCCACACACACACCCGGGAGAGCGAGTGCAAAATCCGGGACTGTCGGCTGCTGCTCGGTCCCCAACGCCTCTCCGGCGCCGGCTGCTGCATCGGGGAAGCCGAGCCCGGCCCCAGCGCCTCCGGAGCCGGCACCGCATCCCGCTCGGAAGCCGGCGCTCTGCACGCGCGCGGAGGACGCGATCGCTCTTCCCCGCGGATCCCGCCGCAGTCCCTTTAAGGGGCCGCCCCGCCCTCGCCCCGCCCCGCCCCCGCGGCCGCTCCCCAGAGGAGGCAGGACGGGCCAGCCGCGATGGCGAGCCGAGCCGGGCCGCCGCGTCACCTGGGGCCGGTTCAGCGCGTCCCGCCCCGCGCCGGCTAAGCGCGTCCGGAGCCCCGCGGGATCGGGGGCGGCGCGCAGGCAGACGCGCGGGGAGGAGCCGCCAGACCCCCGCCTCGCACCCGCCCGGCCGGCCGGCGCGTCCCCTCGCCTCGCCCGCTGCCTCTTTGTTCTTGCCTGCCTGCCTGCTTGCCTGCCGCCGCCGCGGCTCGAAAGGGCGCGGAACCCGGCCATGGGCGGCGGGCCGGCCCAGAGAGCTGGAGGCGGGTCGGGACCGCCGCCGCCTCGGAACAGCCCGCCCGTCGCCGCCGCCGCCCCCCGGAGATGAGCGCCAGGCGCTGTTGGCCCTGCGCGCCGCCCTGATCCCTCCTTCGCCCGCGGCGGCGGCGGCGGCCGGCCCGTTGCCATGGTAGACCCGGTGGGCTTCGCCGAGGCGTGGCGCGCCCAGTTCAACGACGCGGAGCCGCCCGCGATGGCGCTGCGCTCGGTGGGCGACATCGAGGCGGAGCTGGAGCGCTGCAAGGCGTCGATCCGCCGCCTGGAGCTGGAAGTGAACAAGGAGCGCTTTCGCATGATCTACCTGCAGACGCTGCTGGCCAAGGAGCGCAAGAGCTACGACCGGCAGCGGTGGGGCTTCCAGCGCGGCCCCGAGGCCGACGACGACAGGCCCGCCCGCCCGCGCCCCCCCGCCCTGCGCAAGCTCTCCGCGCACAGCGACGGCAGCTCGGAGGCGGACACCGCGCAGCCCGGCGAAGAGGAGCGCGCCAAGCCAGCCGCGGACGAGAAGCCCAGGGAGGAGGGCGCCGCGGCGGGCTCGCCGGGCAGGGCGCGGCCGGCCCCCAGCGGCAGTCGCCGCCGCCTCCCCGCCGCCGCCACCTCGGGGGAGCGGGACGGGGCCGCCTTGGAGGCGGGCGGCAGGGAGCGCGGGCAGGGCGGCGGGGGCGGCGGCGCGGGGCTGCTGCGCTCCGGCCAGGACCGCGGGAGGAAGGCGCCCTCGTCGCCGCCGCCCTCGCGGCCGCCGGACGGCCGGGAGGCGGCCGAGAAGCCCTTCTACGTGAACCTGGAGTACCACCGCGAGCGCGGCCTGGTGCGCGTCAACGACCGCGACGTCTCGGAGCGCATCAGCGCGCTGGGCAGCCAGGCCATGCAGCTGGAAGCGCGCAAGAAGCTGCCGGGGCCGACGCGGGGCCGCTCGGCCGACGCCGCCTACGACGACGGGGCCGAGTACGAGGACGCGGAGCTGAACGCGCGCTTCCTGAAGGACAACCTGCTCCTGGACGGCGCCGGCCGGCCCGTCTGGACGGCCGCCTCCCCCGCCGCCTTCCAGCCCTACCAGAGCGTCTTCGTGGGCGGCTCGGCGGGGGCGTCGGAGCAGCCGCTCACCTGGCCGCGCCGCTCCTACTCGCCGCGCGGCTTCGAGGACCGCGGCGGGGGCGGCGGCTACACGCCGGACTGCAGCTCGAACGAGAACCTGACGTCCAGCGAGGAGGACTTCTCGTCCGGCCAGTCGAGCCACGTGTCGCCCAGCCCCACCGCCTGCCGCCTCTCGCGCGAGAAGAGCCGCTCGCCCTCGCAGCACTCGCAGCAGTCCTTCGACAGCAGCGGCAGTCCCCCGACCCCGCAGGCCCCCAAGCGGCACCGGCACCACCCGCAGGCCGCCGGCCCCGAGCCCGCCCTCGGGGCGCCCCGGAAGAGCGCGCCGTCCTGGCCCTGCGACGGAGAGCCTCCCGCCGGGAGGGGCGCCACCGAGGGCTGTTTCCATGGCGACGCAGGTGAGCCCCGGGGGGGGGGCTCCCCGGAAATGGGGGGCGGCCGGGGAGGGCGAGGGTGGGTCCCGTCGGTTTCAATCAAACTCCGACATTTTCCGCCGGAGGGGAACTACTTTGTACACACAGAGACACCCACAAGGCAACAGAAACCCAAGTCTGGAATTGTG